CATTCAACAGAATCATGCTCGTGCATTGCACGGGCAATAGACTAGTAAATAATATAAGGAGGTTAGTGGTCTTGGTGTCTGTGCAAAATTGTGTAAAATCCATTTCATCATATATATATATATATATATATATATATATATATATTATTTTTTCAGATGCCACAGATCAAGTGGTTGATATTTTGCTTTTGGTATTACATAAAAATTATACGTATTACATAATTTGAGTCCCATTTTACAATCTACTACATTTTGATATGTATGTAAATTTAGGATTTAAAAGACATCAAACTGATTGGAAAACATGGGGTTATTTTCATTAAAATTATGGGATCAACTAAAAATCATGATCAACCAAAAAATGGGATCAACCAAAAATCATGATCAACCAAAAATATCCAACCGATGTAAATGAAGATTGAGCCACATAAATAATCATGCGCAGAATGGTAACTAGAATCAAGACAAATTCAGAATAGATCTATTACAATTGTAGAGGAGGACACGAAACACAAAACTCTTGAGCCGCTAGGATAAACCAGAGCACCTCAAAGGGCAAAACAAACGGGAATGAGGGAAAACTTACTCTTCAAATACGTAGGCTGCGCCACCGCCTGTCAAGCACCCAGTTCTGGGAACGGCAACCAAACGTAAAAGACACAGACCCCCACCCCCCTTTCAAACGGGGAAACACCAACACTTGCAACCTTTTAGGGCTTTCTAAAAGGTTGCTTAGTAAGTATTTTAGGTTTTAGAAATAATGAAAAACATTAACTTGAAAGAAGCACCCCAAAGAAAATTTCTTCAGACAATTTTAATTGTTGGATCTCTATGCTTACATCTTTTGTGTCGTGTCGTCGTCTTGTCCTTCAGTCTCCAACTAATCACTTCTCCATTTTTCTCTACATTCTATCGTGATTTCTTCTCGTGTGTTCTGGCCCATTTTCCTTGCATTATAAATATTTGTGTCACTTCCGTCTTTACTTTCTGACGAGCAATCAAGAGTGTTAAACAGGTCGAGCCAAGTTGCTCGTAGCTCGTCTATTTATAACTGAAATTGTATTTACTCATTATGACGACTAGGTACGTAGGCGGGTCTACAAGTGAATCTAACAAGACTTGACCCACTTAATACTCTTATCATCAACCGTCTGTCCTTATTCTTGAAGAGTTGGCATGCATGCAAGTCGACGAACGAATCTAACAAAACTTGTCCCATTTAACACTCCTATCATCAACCGTCTATCTTTAGCCTCGTTTGGCTCCTATTATTTGATGTTATAATTTTTAGAATAGTGTTTTTTTTGGAGAATGTGTTGTTGAAAAAGAATGAAAAGTTTTTAGTTTATGTGTAATATTATTTTATTGAAAAATGAGATTAAAAATAAGAAAGAAAAAAATGTATTATAAATTTAATGGCTCAAATGGGGATTTATTCTTATATGTGGTCCGATCCCATCCCTTCAAGTTTTGTAAAGATAGGGAGAATAAATGATTTGAAAAAGATAAAAATAGATCAATTTTGACAATGTTTGAGCCAGTTTTGATCAAATTTTAGTTTCTGCCGTGTTTGAGATGGTATATGATGGTTCAATTGTTGTGGTTGTTGTTATTAATTTATTATTATTAAGATTATTGATGAATATTATTATCTTTAGAAAAATCTATCAATATGATGCGTCACGTTAGATTTCATTAAGGCATTTACGATGATGAACTTTAGAAAGAATCGGAGCATCTTAGGAAGAGTAGAAGGTTCAAATGACCGATTTTCGTGTGATTTATTGATTCACAAAACAAAAATTAGTTGTGTGCCACATACATGGCACAAATCCCGGACTTCCTCTTATCGACAGGCATCAATTCAAGAGTACCGAATTTTTTAGTAGACTAATGTTAGACCCAATTAATACAATTTTCTAAATTTCACATAAATTATCTATGCAATTTATTAATTAAGCATGAAATGTATACCAATAAAAATCTCCACCCCTTTGTAGGTCTTAGATCCAGTGTTGGCAGAGTCGATTTTTGTACATTAACAAGTCTTTCGACGAGAAAGATTGTGTGGACAAAATCTCACTTCGACATTAACATATGAAAATTAATTTAATACCTTATTTTAATAATATTTAAATTAAATAGACATTATTCTTATATAATAAAAGAAAATGACATCATTAGAAAGGAGGACATCAATGATGACAGTTGATGATGCATGTGAAAGTCTCTGGAATATTGTAAAATCTACATGTTTAGTCCTCAATCTATTTAAACCGTAACAAGTTAATCATCAGTTAATTTTTTTTTTTGACATTGTTACCTATTTTTAAAATTTGTAGCATGTTAGTCATCATAAAACGGATATCATTATTTCCATTAATAAAGAACCTATCAACTATCTCAAACCCATACCCCTAGTGCCTTTTTCCCACGCCTTGGTTTGCACCCTTTTTCCGCACTTCACCCTTCCTTGGTTTGCCTCACCTCTTTTGTTGGTGTGAAAGGAGGTGAAGCTACATTTTGGAGAAAACGGAGTTGGATTATAGAGAAAACTTTTATTTTATAATTTTGTTTTCTGTTTATTAATTTTCTATATTCATTAGAAAATAAAAGAGAGAAGTACCATCCTTTCGTTATTGTTGAAATTTTAACAATTAAGTGGATTCATTATCTAAGGCTAAGAAATGATACTATCAAAACATAAGTTAAAAGACTAAGTATTTTTTTGGTATTATTTTGAAGTGCTTATAAATTGTGGGTTCAATGAAATTTGTAAAATAATAAATGTGTAATAAATTGTGAATCTTACCAAATACGTAGATAAAAATATATTTAATCAACTTAAATTATAATTTAAGCATATCCATACATACTTTAATTTCTTAAGATATGGATGTGATAGAAAAACAGTCAATAAATTAATGGCAGGGATGAAAAGCGCATGAAATGATAAGTGTTAGGTTCAATAATGTAATTGGCGATTCCGTGAACAAAAGGAATTTAATTGATTGTTTTGTAAAAGTCAAGGACTTAGGTTGCAATTATGTATAAATGGTTAGGATTGATTAAGGTTCGAGTTTAAAGTTGGAAACAAGTTTCTTACTGCCCACCTGAACATCTCTCGAGTGAAAATAACAGAACTATCGTTGCGTGCTTGTCGCCCCTGCGTAGCTCGAGCGAAAAGCCATGGCTCTCTTTTCATCAAGTTGTCACTTGAGCGACAATAATACGTGGCTAAACCATATGTCATGATTTTGGAGAATTTTACATGGCCCATGACACATATTCTCCCTCAACTATAAATATGCAAATCATGGACGAAAATTCTAGGGTTGCTCATTGTGCTTTAACATCTATAACACTTTCATATCGTTGTTTAAGAGATTCAAAGCACAATTCATTGGTGAATCCATCATATTCATTCTTGTGATCCGACAACAAAGTTTTAGAAAAACATCACATCTTTGTAATTCAAAACACTTAGCTTCCTTAATTCATTAAGGAAGGGATTCTCTCATTGGGGATTGAGAGGGGTGGACTTTAAGTGCAGGAAAAACACCAGAACATGATGTTCTTAAAAATTCCACTTGGAAGAGGCAATCAGTTTGAAATCAGGAGGCTGGAAAAAGACAGCTAATCTTCGAGGCTGCAGGGGGTAGATCTTGAGATTGGAAGATTGACAGCAGGTCTTAGAGATTGTAGGAATTACTGTAGCTAGAACTAGAGAGAGTCGTTAGATTGGAATGACATTGTAGCCCTGATTGACTATAGTAGAGGTAACTGGTTTAATCCCAAAGTTTTTCTTATATTGGGTTTCTTCGTCAACAAATTATGCGTTGTTTACTATTTTCATATTATTACAATTGCAGCATACAAACATAGGAAAAATGAACTTGTATGTTTAATCGTCTAGAAACTAATTAAAAGTAACTTGTTGCTTTAATTAGTCAATTCCGCATGTAAAGTTGAATTAATAAATTGTTTGGAATGAAAACTTGGTAATTTTAAAAGTTGAAGAATTTCACAATAAGAGAGTTACAATTGGTATAGTAGGGCAATCAAATGCAATACAAAATTGGTCAAAGTCAATCATAAATTAAGTAGAAAATTGACTCAACCACTAGATGCAACGATATTATCTTGTCATCCCAATGATTCAATTTAGCAATGTCTAGGCCCTAGAACATCCACCAGTGCATTATCTTCATGGAACATATGCGTCCATTAACTATTGATTCAACACTAACTAATATTCGAATTGAAACTTTCCCAATTTTATGTGTCGAATTTACTATTTTTATTTATAATATATGAGATTTATTTATTTTGTTTGTGCCCAAAATAAAAACGTTAAAATCAAAGATTTGATACTATTTTTGTTGGAAGCTATACCATATTGCATAGATCCTCTTAATGCAACTGATTTACGAGAGATTTAGGGACATCTTGGCAAGGCTTTTGAAAAATTAAAGTTGTTTTTTAGACTATATTTATTTATTTTGGCGACATTGGGACTTGTGAAGAGACGATAGGGAATAAAGAATCCGAAAAAGAGAGAAGGAATGTGGTCACAATTTGTCCACTATGCCAAGGGAGATGTTCATTCTTTGATTGGACCAATCAATAACTGAATACATCAACATACCATCAAAGTTAACCGTTCATGGTCAATTACTAGTCGTGTGCATAATATCGTAATTTGCATATGCTTCGACTGCTCACTTTGATTGAATAGATTTTCATTCTATCAATTATTAAGATTTGCAAGTAGAGAAAATGAGTAGTGCTTAGAAAATCAAAAGCATAATCAATTAGAATAGGGCGTAGAATCTTGAAAATAGAAAAGAACAATGGATCAGAGGTAAATAATAATAATAATTATAATAAAACAACATTATTATTAAGATGCATGCATCTCTTGAACTTACGTTATAATATTATCTGACAATAAAAAACAGAGTGATTGCAGAAAAATAGTTCTCTCTTGTAATGAATGGGACTAAGAGGAGTGATTAAGCAATCAAGAGTACATTAGACCCTAGCTGCAAAGTAAAAGCAGCCATGAGTAGCCCATGTGATCATCCATATATCATATTATCGCATTTATCGCCATGAATTCTGGGTACAGAATTTTTATTAAGAAAAGCCATATTCTGCTTAGGAAATACAAATGGAGTTGGATGCCATTATTATCAAAGTACGATAGAAATATGGACGAGTCGTTTTCCTTTTTAAAAAATATGTGAATAAAGTTTGCACAGTATTTGATAACTGTACTATAAAAGAAAAGGAAAAAAAAAGTAAGCAATTTTAAGAGGAGGGAACAGTGTCAGCTTGCCAAACACTGTAAACTTGTATATGGAGGTAGAGGATTGAGGGGGCGTACTGGACGAGTGAAAGGGAGGTGAACCCACTTCAATTACAGCAGAAATACGATAAAGAGTAAAATAACGGTAGCAGTTTTGAGACTTGTTTCCAGGTTTACGTGAAAATGGTCATTTTGATTCATGGTATAATAGTATAGGGTGGAGAGAAAAGGGGAGGTGGTGGTTGGGTGCTGATTCTAAAGGGATAGATGAGACTGGGGGGGAACATTCTGAGCTTGGCCTTTTGTTTCTCAAAGTTTTTATTTTAATGGTGCTCTTACTCTGTATTTGCACTGTCTTGCCCCCATTGAATCTTGATTCTTTGTACGGAGCAAAGGTTTTTGTTCATTTGATTGCCATGATTTACTGGAAAGTTTAGCACCTTCTTGTTTTAGGTGAGTTTTGGAGAATTTTGATGTTAAAAGTTTCTTTCTCTTCTCATCAGAATGGGTTTTTGTATGTGCATGCACATTGATTCAGAATTTTGGTTATAATAGGGGTTTAATTTACTTTATTTGGACCAATTTTTGCTGTTGATTCCTGCTTAATTATCTTTCACTATGTGATTTACTTTGTGATCGATTTTTCATAATTTTGGTTAATTGGTAATTTAATATTTATTGGTTTTGCTACCTTTATCACTTTGTGGAGTGATGTGATGCATTGTTTGGAATTTTTCCTTTTTGCAGTTGCACTAACATTTCAGAAATCAATCGTGTTGGTTGCATTGCTGGCCTGTTCACGTGTGTGTGTATATGTTTTCTTATCTTCCAAAACTAGTTGATGCTTCTTGTCTGCAATTTTGGTGGTGCCCTTCCACTCATACGGAGATTATGTTAACTTTAACAGGTCTCTCCAACTCCACTGGTGAAAGATGATTTTACTGTTTGTCAAGTTTTGGATATTTGAACCCCATAATAGGTACATTTAACGTGCATCTCTATTCGATTCATGTGTTGAGGAATTTCTGAAACGAGGTCAGGAGATTATATTTTCTTATAGAGAGATAAGACACTGGAATATAAACAAATAATAAGGGAGGGTTGGTGGTGTCAGTTGTGACTTGTGAGCAAGTGAGAGTGTCTCTGGTTTTGAGAAGTTAATCAAGCTTTTTGTGTCTCCTGGGTTTATCCTTCATGGACATGGTCCTGACACTCTTCTTTGGGTCTCTTCCCACTCAAGAGGTGGATTAAGTTTGCAATACAAAGTGGTACACATCCCCAATTTAAATCTCCTACTCATTTGTTTCGAGTTGGGGGGAAACATTGGGTCATATATGATTGTGATTTACTTTCTTGTCTTTAGTTCTGTTTTCACATCTCTTAAATTCTATTAAGGACTGAAGGTTGTGACATCTATGTACTCAATATTCACTTCTGGGCCCTTCTTCCCTTCTCTTCTCATGCAGCACTCTATTCCGACTTCATTTAGAGGTGTAAGTGGTTGAACTGTGGGTTGTTGAGATATAACGAATAAAGTTGAAAGTTTGGAGTTGAGAAGATCTTTTGCCGACCAAGATGAAGTTTATGAAGCTTGGCTCCAAGCCTGATCAGTTCGAGACTGATGGGGACAATATTAGGTCAGTTTGCACCCTCTTCTCGAATCATAATTTCTCTGTTTTTCCCATATGCTCGTGATAAAAGTTAAAAGTGTCTGTATTTTTAATTACAATGTTATTGGTTTGAAGCTGTTTTCACTTTTCATCAAAAGTTTCGCCTTCTGTTTTTCTGATATTTGGTTTTAGAAAACTGCTCCCTTTCTTGGGATTTCCAGAAATTGAGCTGAAAGTGTTTGGTTAAGTCTCGTCCTTGATTTAATGAGGCTATATGACAGATTGAAATTATGTAATCTATTTTTTATGTTTACATTAAATTGGGTATATTTGCCTATTTTTCTAAATAGGTAATCTCAAACTGTAGGATCAAGATACGTGTATTTGGCTTGCATTTGATTGGATTCTTCCTTAACTTCGCCTCTCACGTAATGGAAAAATGCAGAGACTTACTTCCAGGACGAAGTTGAAAAATTGCCTCAAAGACACTCGTTTGATCTCAGTTAACCACATTTATATGATGCTTTTATATTATAAGGAAAAACATACTTGGCAGCATTCCAGATTTCTACCTGGAGACTTCGTGATAAAAACTCGATTTTTATTTGCCATTACTGCATATGAGACATTAATAACTGATGATATGAAGTAGTGTACATTTCAAACAAGTAGTATCTTAATAAACGTAAAGGAGGTGGTGCCCGTTATTCCAATGAAGGGAAATTGATCGCAGGAAAAGCATTGTAGAAGCCATATAATTTTGATTAAAGTTATCTTAGTATTCTTTATAGAACAAATTTCTGGTTAACACTTGGATCAATATTTCTATTGTCCCTTTGTCAAGTAATAGAACACTTTTGAGTTGGTAAATAATTCTAAATGCAAATCTTATGTAAGGATATAAGCCTTGATTTTCTTTCGCTCTTCATTTGTCTTTTTTCAGCAAATATTTTATGGATGTATACGATTTTGCCAGGTTGAAGGTTAGTTAACATGTGAACACGTAATCTAAAGTTTACTTGGAATCTGACCGATTGTCCATCTGTCTGCTCAGGTATGTGGCAACTGAGCTGTCAACTGATATAATCATCAATGTTGGGAGTGTCAAATTTTATCTGCACAAGGTATAACCCCTTTTATGCCGAAGATGTGCTGCTTTATGCATTAACACATCATCTGCCAAATTCATCGATGAGATTACTTCCATCTGTTAAGCTCACCCTATTACACTTATAGACCCATATAAAGTTCTAACACAAGAACAACTAAAAGGCACGTCTGGTCTGAGATTGTTAATCCCCAATTTTAAATTACTTTAAATGTCATTATTCTGTAATCAACTATGATTTTGTTGTCAGACATACGTTCGTTACTGCGAGTGCTTGTCTATTTTACTGAACACTGCATCTTTTTGTAGTTCCCTCTCCTGTCCAAGAGTTCTCGCCTGCAGAAGCTCATTGCTAGTACAATTGATGAAAACAATGATACAATTGACATCCATGATATGCCCGGTGGACCTGCTGCCTTCGAAATATGTGCTAAGTTCTGTTATGGAATGATAGTAACTCTCAATGCATACAATGTGGTTGCAGCACGTTGTGCGGCAGAGTATCTTGAAATGTACGAAACAGTGGAGAAAGGAAATCTCATATACAAAATTGACGTCTTTTTAACCTCTAGCATTTTCCGAAGCTGGAAAGATTCTATCGTTGTTCTACAAACAACAAAATCTCTGATTCCGTGGTCGGAGGAATTGAAGGTTGTCAGCCACTGCGTTGATTCTATAGCTACTAAAGCTTCTATTGATCCTTCAAAGGTTGAGTGGTCATACACGTATAGTCGCAAAAAACTCCCATCTGAGAATGGAAATGAATCACATTGGAATGGTGTGAAAAAACAACAGATGGTGCCGAAGGACTGGTGGGTAGAAGACCTTTGTGAGCTTCAAATTGATTTATATAAACAGGTAATAACGACAATGAAAACAAAAGAAAGAATGTCTGCAGATGTCATAGGAGAATCTTTGAAAGCATATGCTTTAAGAAGGCTGCCAGGTTTCATTACAGGTATATATATATATGTGTGTGTGTGTGTGTGTGTGTGTGTGTGTGTGTGTGTGTGTGTGTGTGTGGTGCATTCCTTTATTTCACTAAAATATATAAAAAAAAAAAAAAACGTAAATTGAATATGTATTGCTTTGATTTTTCTTTATTCTCTTTATAAATGGATTCAATTGATGAAATTGCATAATAATGTAGTGTATTTGGGGGAGAAAGAGTATGGTGTATCATCGAACCTAGCATAGTGATATCAGGGTTGCCCATCAAATAAATCAAAGTCCACAAATTTCTTAAATTCACTATTATTTGGATAATCTGAAAAAAAGTCGTACAAATTTTCAAAAAAATAAAAATAGATTCTTGCATGTGCAACTATTATAGCAGTTACTTCAATAGGAGGAAAGCATATTTCAAATATATTTTACCAAACCATGTCAAACAACATATCCTGCTCAAATATTTTGTGTTGACTAAGAACTTTTCATGACAAAAATAAATTATTATATATCAGAAGTTCAGTGCAAAAAAGTTGTTTATCTGCCTTTCTTTTTATTTTTTAATATATATACACCCCCACCCCCCTTTCAAACGGGGAAACACCAACACTTGCAACCTTTTAGGGCTTTCTAAAAGGTTGCTTAGTAAGTATTTTAGGTTTTAGAAATAATGAAAAACATTAACTTGAAAGAAGCACCCCAAAGAAAATTTCTTCAGACAATTTTAATTGTTGGATCTCTATGCTTACATCTTTTGTGTCGTGTCGTCGTCTTGTCCTTCAGTCTCCAACTAATCACTTCTCCATTTTTCTCTACATTCTATCGTGATTTCTTCTCGTGTGTTCTGGCCCATTTTCCTTGCATTATAAATATTTGTGTCACTTCCGTCTTTACTTTCTGACGAGCAATCAAGAGTGTTAAACAGGTCGAGCCAAGTTGCTCGTAGCTCGTCTATTTATAACTGAAATTGTATTTACTCATTATGACGACTAGGTACGTAGGCGGGTCTACAAGTGAATCTAACAAGACTTGACCCACTTAATACTCTTATCATCAACCGTCTGTCCTTATTCTTGAAGAGTTGGCATGCATGCAAGTCGACGAACGAATCTAACAAAACTTGTCCCATTTAACACTCCTATCATCAACCGTCTATCTTTAGCCTCGTTTGGCTCCTATTATTTGATGTTATAATTTTTAGAATAGTGTTTTTTTTGGAGAATGTGTTGTTGAAAAAGAATGAAAAGTTTTTAGTTTATGTGTAATATTATTTTATTGAAAAATGAGATTAAAAATAAGAAAGAAAAAAATGTATTATAAATTTAATGGCTCAAATGGGGATTTATTCTTATATGTGGTCCGATCCCATCCCTTCAAGTTTTGTAAAGATAGGGAGAATAAATGATTTGAAAAAGATAAAAATAGATCAATTTTGACAATGTTTGAGCCAGTTTTGATCAAATTTTAGTTTCTGCCGTGTTTGAGATGGTATATGATGGTTCAATTGTTGTGGTTGTTGTTATTAATTTATTATTATTAAGATTATTGATGAATATTATTATCTTTAGAAAAATCTATCAATATGATGCGTCACGTTAGATTTCATTAAGGCATTTACGATGATGAACTTTAGAAAGAATCGGAGCATCTTAGGAAGAGTAGAAGGTTCAAATGACCGATTTTCGTGTGATTTATTGATTCACAAAACAAAAATTAGTTGTGTGCCACATACATGGCACAAATCCCGGACTTCCTCTTATCGACAGGCATCAATTCAAGAGTACCGAATTTTTTAGTAGACTAATGTTAGACCCAATTAATACAATTTTCTAAATTTCACATAAATTATCTATGCAATTTATTAATTAAGCATGAAATGTATACCAATAAAAATCTCCACCCCTTTGTAGGTCTTAGATCCAGTGTTGGCAGAGTCGATTTTTGTACATTAACAAGTCTTTCGACGAGAAAGATTGTGTGGACAAAATCTCACTTCGACATTAACATATGAAAATTAATTTAATACCTTATTTTAATAATATTTAAATTAAATAGACATTATTCTTATATAATAAAAGAAAATGACATCATTAGAAAGGAGGACATCAATGATGACAGTGATGATGCATGTGAAAGTCTCTGGAATATTGTAAAATCTACATGTTTAGTCCTCAATCTATTTAAACCGTAACAAGTTAATCATCAGTTAATTTTTTTTTTGACATTGTTACCTATTTTTAAAATTTGTAGCATGTTAGTCATCATAAAACGGATATCATTATTTCCATTAATAAAGAACCTATCAACTATCTCAAACCCATACCCCTAGCGCCTTTTTCCCACGCCTTGGTTTGCACCCTTTTTTCCGCACTTCGCCCTTCCTTGGTTTGCCTCACCTCTTTTGTTGGTGTGAAAGGAGGTGAAGCTACATTTTGGAGAAAACGGACTTGGATTATAGAGAAAACTTTTATTTTATAATTTTGTTTTCTGTTTATTAATTTTCTATATTCATTAGAAAATAAAAGAGAGAAGTACCATCCTTTCGTTATTGTTGAAATTTTAACAATTAAGTGGATTCATTATCTAAGGCTAAGAAATGATACTATCAAAACATAAGTTAAAGGACTAAATATTTTTTTGGTATTATTTTGAAGTGCTTATAAATTGTGGGTTCAATGAAATTTGTGAATAATAAATGTGTAATAAATTGTGAATCTTACCAAATACGTAGATAAAAATATATTTAATCAACTTAAATTATAATTTAAGCATATCCATACGTACTTTAATTTCTTAAGATATGAACGTGATAGAAAAACAGTCAATAAATTAATGGCAGGGATGAAAAGCGCATGAAATGATAAGTGTTAAGTTCAATATTGTAATTGGCGATTCCGTGAACAAAAGGAATTTAATTGATTGTTTTGTAAAAGTCAAGGACTTAGGTTGCAATTATGTATAAATGGTTAGGATTGATTAAGGTTCGAGTTTAAAGTTGGAAACAAGTTTCTTACTGCCCACCTGAACATCTCTCGAGTGAAAATAACAGAACTATCGTTCCGTGCTTGTCGCCCCTGCGTAGCTCGAGCGAAAAGCCATGGCTCTCTTTTCATCAAGTTGTCACTCGAGCGATAGTAATACGTGGCTAAACCATACGTCACGATTTTGGAGAATTTTACACGGCCCATGACACATATTCTCCCTCAACTATAAATATGCAAATCATGGACGAAAATTCTAGGGTTGCTCATTGTGCTTTAACATCTATAACACTTTCATATCGTTGTTTAAGAGATTCAAAGCACAATTCATTGGTGAATCCATCATATTCATTCTTGTGATCCAACAACAAAGTTTTGGAAAAACATCACATCTTTGTTATCCAAAACACTTGGCTTCCTTAATTCATTAAGGAATGGATTCTCTCATTGGGGATTGAGAGGGGTGAACTTCAAGTGCAGGAAAAACACCAGAACATGAGGTTCTTAGAAATTCCACTTGGAAGAGGCAATCAGCTTGAAATCAGGAGGCTGGAAAAAGATAGTTAATCTTCGAGGCTATAGGGGGTAGATCTTGAGATTGGAAGATTGACAGCAGATCTTAGAGATTGTAGAAATTATTGTAGCTAGAACTAGAGAGAGTTGTTAGATTGGAATCACACTGTAACCCTAATTGACTATAGTAGAGGTAACTGGTTTAATCCCAAAGTTTTTCTTATATTGGGTTTCTTCGTCAACAAATTATGCGTTGTTTACTATTTTCATATTATTACAATTGCAGCATACAAACATAGGAAAAATGGACTTGTATGTTTAATCGTCTAGAAACTAATTAAAAGTAACTTGTTGCTTTAATTAGTCAATTCCGCACGTAAAGTCGAATTAATAAATTGTTTGGAATGAAAACTTGGTAATTTTAAAAGTTGAAGTAGTGTGTAATGTTCCATACCCGAATTTCACAATAAGAGAGTTACAATTGGTATAGTAGGGCAATCAAATGCATTCCAAAATTGGTCAAAGTCAATCATAAATTAATGTAGAAAATTGACTCAACCACTAGATGCAACGATATTATCTTGTCATCCCAATGATTCAATTTAGCAATGTCTAGGCCCTAGAACATCCACCAGTGCATTATCTTCATGGAACATATGCGTCCATTAACTATTGATTCAACACTAACTAATGTTCGAATTGAAACTTTCCCAATTTTATGTGTCGAATTTACTATTTTTATTTATAATATATGAGATTTATTTATTTTGTTTGTGCCCAAAATAAAAACGTTAAAATCAAAGATTTGATACTATTTTTGTTGGAAGCTATACCATATTGCATAGATCCTCTTAATGCAACTGATTTACGAGAGATTTAGGGACATCTTGGCAAGGCTTTTGAAAAATTAAAGTTGTTTTTTAGACTATATTTATTTATTTTGGCGACATTGGGACTTGTGAAGAGACGATAGGGAATAAAGAATCCGAAAAAGAGAGAAGGAATGTGGTCACAATTTGTCCACTATGCCAAGGGAGATGTTCATTCTTTGATTGGACCAATCAATAACTGAATACATCAACATACCATCAAAGTTAACCGTTCATGGTCAATTACTAGTCGTGTGCATAATATCGTAATTTGCATATGCTTCGACTGCTCACTTTGATCGAATAGATTTTCATTCTATCAATTATTAAGATTTGCAAGTAGAGAAAATGAGTAGTGCTTAGAAAATCAAAAGCATAATCAATTAGAATAGGGCGTAGAATCTTGAAAATAGAAAAGAACAATGGATCAGAGGTAAATAATAATAATAATTATAATAAAACAACATTATTATTAAGATGCATGCATCTCTTGAACTTACGTTATAATATTATCTGACAATAAAAAACAGAGTGATTGCAGAAAAATAGTTCTCTCTTGTAATGAATGGGACTAAGAGGAGTGATTAAGCAATCAAGAGTACATTAGACCCTAGCTGCAAAGTAAAAGCAGCCATGAGTAGCCCATGTGATCATCCATATATCATATTATCGCATTTATCGCCATGAATTCTGGGTACAGAATTTTTATTAAGAAAAGCCATATTCTGCTTAGGAAATACAAATGGAGTTGGATGCCATTATTATCAAAGTACGATAGAAATATGGACGAGTCGTTTTCCTTTTTAAAAAATATGTGAATAAAGTTTGCACAGTATTTGATAACTGTACTATAAAAGAAAAGGAAAAAAAAAGTAAGCAATTTTAAGAGGAGGGAACAGTGTCAGCTTGCCAAACACTGTAAACTTGTATATGGAGGTAGAGGATTGAGGGGGCGTACTGGACGAGTGAAAGGGAGGTGAACCCACTTCAATTACAGCAGAAATACGATAAAGAGTAAAATAACGGTAGCAGTTTTGAGACTTGTTTCCAGGTTTACGTGAAAATGGTCATTTTGATTCATGGTATAATAGTATAGGGTGGAGAGAAAAGGGGAGGTGGTGGTTGGGTGCTGATTCTAAAGGGATAGATGAGACTGGGGGGGAACATTCTGAGCTTGGCCTTTTGTTTCTCAAAGTTTTTATTTTAATAGTGCTCTTACTCTGTATTTGCACTGTCTTGCCCCCATTGAATCTTGATTCTTTGTACGGAGCAAAGGTTTTTGTTCATCTGATTGCCATGATTTACTGGAAAGTTTAGCACCTTCTTGTTTTAGGTGAGTTTTGGAGAATTTTGATGTTAAAGTTTCTTTCTCTTCTCATCAGAATGGGTTTTTGTATGTGCATGCACATTGATTCAGAATTTTGGTTATAATAGGGGTTTAATTTACTTTATTTGGACCAATTTTTGCTGTTGATTCCTGCTTAATTATCTTTCACTATGTGATTTACTTTGTGATCGATTTTTCATAATTTTGGTTAATTGGTAATTTAATATTTATTGGTTTTGCTACCTTTATCACTTTGTGGAGTGATGTGATGCATTGTTTGGAATTTTTCCTTTTTGCAGTTGCACTAACATTTCAGAAATCAATCGTGTTGGTTGCATTGCTGGCCTGTTCACGTGTGTGTGTATATGTTTTCTTATCTTCCAAAACTAGTTGATGCTTCTTGTCTGCAATTTTGGTGGTGCCCTTCCACTCATACGGAGATTATGTTAACTTTAACAGGTCTCTCCAACTCCACTGGTGAAAGATGATTTTACTGTTTGTCAAGTTTTGGATATTTGAACCCCATAATAGGTACATTTAACGTGCATCTCTATTCGATTCATGTGTTGAGGAATTTCTGAAACGAGGTCAGGAGATTATATTTTCTTATAGAGAGATAAGACACTGGAATATAAACAAATAATAAGGGAGGGTTGGTGGTGTCAGTTGTGACTTGTGAGCAAGTGAGAGTGTCTCTGGTTTTGAGAAGTTAATCAAGCTTTTTGTGTCTCCTGGGTTTATCCTTCATGGACATGGTCCTGACACTCTTCTTTGGGTCTCTTCCCACTCAAGAGGTGGATTAAGTTTGCAATACAAAGTGGTACACATCCCCAATTTAAATCTCCTACTCATTTGTTTCGAGTTGGGGGGAAACATTGGGTCATATATGATTGTGATTTACTTTCTTGTCTTTAGTTCTGTTTTCACATCTCTTAAATTCTATTAAGGACTGAAGGTTGTGACATCTATGTACTCAATATTCACTTCTGGGCCCTTCTTCCCTTCTCTTCTCATGCAGCACTCTATTCCGACTTCATTTAGAGGTGTAAGTGGTTGAACTGTGGGTTGTTGAGATATAACGAATAAAGTTGAAAGTTTGGAGTTGAGAAGATCTTTTGCCGACCAAGATGAAGTTTATGAAGCTTGGCTCCAAGCCTGATCAGTTTGAGACTGATGGGGACAATATTAGGTCAGTTTGCACCCTCTTCTTGAATCATAATTTCTCTGTTTTTCCCATATGCTCGTGATAAAAGTTAAAAGTGTCTGTATTTTTAATTACAATGTTATTGGTTTGAAGCTGTTTTCACTTTTCATCAAAAGTTTCGCCTTCTGTTTTTCTGATATTTGGTTTTAGAAAACTGCTCCCTTTCTTGGGATTTCCAGAAATTGAGCTGAAAATGTTTGGTTAAGTCTCGTCCTTGATTTAATGAGGCTATATGACAGATTGAAATTATGTAATCTATTTTTTATGTTTACATTAAATTGGGTATATTTGCCTATTTTTCTAAATAGGTAATCTCAAACTGTAGGATCAAGATACGTGTATTTGGCTTGCATTTGATTGGATTCTTCCTTAACTTCGCCTCTCACGTAATGGAAAAATGCAGAGACTTACTTCCAGGACGAAGTTGAAAAGTTGCCTCAAAGACACTCGTTTGATCTCAGTTAACCACATTTATATGATGCTTTTATATTATAAGGAAAAACATACTTGGCAGCATTCCAGATTTCTACCTGGAGACTTCGTGATAAAAACTCGATTTTTATTTGCCATTACTGCATATGAGACATTAATAACTGATGATATGAAGTAGTGTACATTTCAAACAAGTAGTATCTTAATAAACGTAAAGGAGGTGGTGCCCGTTATTCCAATGAAGGGAAATTGATCGCAGGAAAAGCATTGTAGAAGCCATATAATTTTGATTAAAGTTATCTTAGTATTCTTTATAGAACAAATTTCTGGTTAACACTTGGATCAATATTTCTATTGTCCCTTTGTCAAGTAATAGAACACTTTTGAGTTGGTAAATAATTCTAAATGCAAATCTTATGTAAGGATATAAGCCTTGATTTTCTTTCGCTCTTCATTTGTCTTTTTTCAGCAAATATTTTATGGATGTATACGATTTTGCCAGGTTGAAGGTTAGTTAACATGTGAACACGTAATCTAAAGTTTACTTGGAATCTGACCGATTGTCCATCTGTCTGCTCAGGTATGTGGCAACTGAGCTGTCAACTGATATAATCATCAATGTTGGGAGTGTCAAATTTTATCTGCACAAGGTATAACCCCTTTTATGCCGAAGATGTGCTGCTTTATGCATTAACACATCATCTGCCAAATTCATCGATGAGATTACTTCCATCTGTTAAGCTCACCCTATTACACTTATAGACCCATATAAAGTTCTAACACAAGAACAACTAAAAGGCACGTCTGGTCTGAGATTGTTAATCCCCAATTTTAAATTACTTTAAATGTCATTATTCTGTAATCAACTATGATTTTGTTGTCAGACATACGTTCGTTACTGCGAGTGCTTGTCTATTTTACTGAACACTGCATCTTTTTGTAGTTCCCTCTCCTGTCCAAGAGTTCTCGCCTGCAGAAGCTCATTGCTAGTACAATTGATGAAAACAATGATACAATTGACATCCATGATATGCCCGGTGGACCTGCTGCCTTCGAAATATGTGCTAAGTTCTGTTATGGAATGATAGTAACTCTCAATGCATACAATGTGGTTGCAGCACGTTGTGCGGCAGAGTATCTTGAAATGTACGAAACAGTGGAGAAAGGAAATCTCATATACAAAATTGACGTCTTTTTAACCTCTAGCATTTTCCGAAGCTGGAAAGATTCTATCGTTGTTCTACAAACAACAAAATCTCTGATTCCGTGGTCGGAGGAATTGAAGGTTGTCAGCCACTGCGTTGATTCTATAGCTACTAAAGCTTCTATTGATCCTTCAAAGGTTGAGTGGTCATACACGTATAGTCGCAAAAAACTCCCATCTGAGAATGGAAATGAATCACATTGGAATGGTGTGAAAAAACAACAGATGGTGCCGAAGGACTGGTGGGTAGAAGACCTTTGTGAGCTTCAAATTGATTTATATAAACAGGTAATAACGACAATGAAAACAAAAGAAAGAATGTCTGCAGATGTCATAGGAGAATCTTTGAAAGCATATGCTTTAAGAAGGCTGCCAGGTTTCATTACAGGTACAATACAAGGAGATGATTTTGCTAAATGCCGGTGCATGGTAGATACCATAAGTTGGTTATTGCCTGCCGAGAGAAATAGTGTTTCATGTAGTTTCTTGCTCAAGTTATTACAAGCATCTATAGCATTAGAATGTGGAGAGATGGGAAGAAAAGAAATCATGCAAAGGATTGCAGAACAGCTGGATGAGGCTACGGATTGTGATCTTTTGTTCCATTCTCCAACTGGTGAAACAGCGCTGTATAACATAGATATAGTACACGACTTAGTCAAGCAGTTTGTGATGAAACATGGTGCTCGGATTGATGGTTCTTGTGGTAATGAATTTCAAGAAATATGCACTAAATTTACTTCAGCAGATTCCAAGATTAAGGTGGCTAGGTTGGTTGATGATTATCTTGCTCAAGCTGCAAGAGATTCCAGTTTACCATTGTCAAAATTTGTGGATTTAGCAGAACTTGTTTCTGGCTTTCCAAGACCAACCCATGATAGTATTTACCGTGCTATTGACATGTTCCTGAAGGTTAATATTTGCCATCATCTTTAACATCGCTAATTTTGTTTACTGTTCATTTTTCTCTTGTCAAGTTGAATAGTTGATTCCAATGTAAGATTGTCTTTTGATCAACAATTGCCCTTTTACAGGAACATCCTAGTCTGAGCAAGAGTGAGAAGAAGAGGATTTGCAGATTAATGGATTGCAAGAAGCTCTCTGCTGAAGCCTGCACCCATGCTGTACAAAACGAGAGGCTCCCATTACGGGTCATTGTGCAGGTTCTTTTCTTCGAGCAAACTCGAGCGACAGCATCCTCTGGCAGTTGTAGCACAACCGACCTACACGGGTCCATCAGAGCCTTACTCCCGGGTGGGTCTCATGGGAGTTCCAGGTCAGCAACTACCAACACAGACGAGGATTGGGATACTGCCCAAAGCAGCGAGGAGCTCAAGGCTTTAAAGGGGAAACTTTCTTCTTTAAGGTTGGAGAACAAAGGAGGGGGTGGCAATGAAAATAGTTCAAATGATGCAAAACCAAACGCAGAAAAAGTTGCTACCAGTAAAGTTAAGAAGATCTTCTCGAAACTCTGGTCGAACAAGGACAGACAAGACGAGATCAGCAGCTCGGATACATCTGAGAGCCCGGCTTCTACAAATGCAGAAGAGAGTAGGTCCACCCCTTCGAGAAGTAGGAGGCATTCCTCATCTTAAACTAATTGCTTAGAAGTATAGGGAATCTTTTAACTTGTAAAATGGTTCATTTGATTTGCCTTAGGATGTTAGAACCGAAGTCTGTCAAAAGTTTTATGGCAAAGATTTGTTTCATTTTGCTTTCTGAAAAGAGAAATGTAGGTTCTTAGTGGTTTTCTAGAGCTTTTAAATCTCAGATATGGCGTTTGAATGCTAAGTTTTTACCTTTATAATTTCTTGCAGTAGTAGTTTAAACTTGTTAGATTATGCAAGACATAATAAATGACAGCCATCAGCCATGTGGTGTTTGGATAATACTATCTCCCCTTTTCTTCTCTCTTTTTCACAAAATTAATAGCTTTATGAAAACACTGGTCGTCAATGGTAATAATTTATTTTAATTATTTAAAGCAGTAGATATCCTTATTTTCTTGCTTGTTCAAGTGAACGAATAATAGGGAAAACAATGTACGAATTTAGCTTTAAGTGAAAAAGAGTCGCTTAAAGGTAAAAGGTTTAGTTATAAAATAAAAAAATAAAAAAATAAAACTTGCTTATAAGTTAAAATACTATTTGGACCTAAAAGTAGGTATTGAATTATATAGGAAATATTGTATACAAGTAAAAATTACTACTTATAACTAAAAAATTAACTTAACAAAAGAAATTCACTTTTGTGTTAAAAAATTGCTCATAAGTAAAAATACTAAAGTAAAATTTTTTGCTTATGACATTATTTAGGGTTGTTGAATGATTGATTAATTAAACTCTTGAAAAAGATTTCTTCGCCTTTTTTTTTTTTTATATCAATTTAGTATTTTTTGAATCATTAAACTCTTGAAGACGATTTCTTCACCTTTTTTTTTTTAATATCATTTCGATAATTTTTGAATTGGTGAATTGTTAATCGAGTGTTATTATCTTTGCTGCTTTTATTTAATTGATTGACATACTTGTTTGATGAATCTTTCAAATAGAAGAAAGAGTCTTATTATCTTATGAGTTAGTTTCTTAAAAATAAGTTAATTCTAAAAATAATTTTAAAAAATTTAAAAATTATTATTATTATTTTTTTAAAATTTCAACTTAACACGTTTTTTTCTCTTAAAGGATGAAGAATAACCCATTTGTGGTTCATACTAGAAAACATAAAGGTAGTGATTGGTAGCAAAAAGTTCAAGTACTGTTGGGAACTGAAATTAGAAATCTTTTGTTCAAAATACATATTTTCATTCCTAAAAATTAGAGATAACCAAAATTCACCACAATATTGATTAATATTATGTTTTTCAGTTTGCAGTTTGAAAAAGAAAGTAGGCCTCAACGGAAAAGAAAGTCATAATTGGGCTATTTGATCGGGTCTTGTTTATTGGGGGCCTTTCCTTTCCTCTTTAGGGATGTTTTTGTTTATTCGAATGTGGGAATAGTCGCAACTAGTTTCTGGGTTTGACCCGAATCCACTTGACTATACTTTATTCAGAATAAGAATTGAACTTGGAATCGATAAACAGGATTAGAAAAATTAAGTCGGAAAGATCTGGATTCGTTTCTTGATTTGGTTAATCGGATTTGGATTCGGTCCAGATTGTTCCATTTGGAATGTGAGTAATTGTTGGAAGTGAAATCTTATTTTGTATTTTTTGGCTTTCTTTAATATCTTATCCTTACAATGAGGCCCATTAAAAGTAGCTAGATTTAGGTTCTTTCATCTCCAATTGACACTCTCCGTCTTATAGAGAGCACAATTAAATCCAGAAAATCAAAATTTTTATGCATTCCAACAATGTGTCTTATTTTGATTCTTTATTTTATTTTTTTTAAGAGACATTTATTAATTTCTCCTCATTTTATATGTCAAAAGTCAATTAATTTAAATGTGATTTGAATAGTTTATGAAATAGATTATCGAAATTCATGATTTATTAAATTCAATCATTTTACATTAAGAAGTTAAAATAGAAAGTCCTTTTTAATATCATTTCGATAATTTTTGAATTGGTGAATTGTTAATCGAGTATTATTATCTTTGCTGCTTTTATTTAATTGATTGACATACTTGTTTGATGAATCTTTCAAATAGAAGAAAGAGTCTTATTATCTTATGAGTTAGTTTCTTAAAAATAAGTTAATTCTAAAAATAATTTTAAAAAATTTTAAAATTATTATTATTATTTTTTTAAAATTTCAACTTAACACGTTTTTTTCTCTTAAAGGATGAAGAATAACCCATTTGTGGTTCGTACTAGAAAACATAAAGGTAGTGATTGGTAGCAAAAAGTTCAAGTACTGTTGGGAACTGAAATTAGAAATCTTTTGTTCAAAATACATATTTTCATTCCTAAAAATTAGAGATAACCAAAATTCACCACAATATTGATTAATATTATGTTTTTCAGTTTGCAGTTTGAAAAAGAAAGTAGGCCTCAACGGAAAAGAAAGTCATAATTGGGCTATTTGATCGGGTCTTGTTTATTGGGGGCCTTTCCTTTCCTCTTTAGGGATGTTTTTGTTTATTCGAATGTGGGAATAGTCGCAACTAGTTTCTGGGTTTGACCCGAATCCACTTGACTATACTTTATTCAGAATAAGAATTGAACTTGGAATCGATAAACAGGATTAGAAAAATTAAGTCGGAAAGATCTGGATTCGTTTCTTGATTTGGTTAATCGGATTTGGATTCGGTCCAGATTGGTCCATTTGGAATGTGAGTAATTGTTGACAGTAAAAACATATATATATATATTTTTTTTTTGGGGCTTTCTTTAATATCTTATCCTTACACTGAGGCCCATTAAAAGCAGCTAGATTTAGGTTCTTTCATCTCCAATTGACACTCTTTGTCTTATAGAGAGCACAATTAAATCCACAAAATCAAAATTTTTATGCATTCCAACAATGTTTCTTATTTTGATTCTTTATTTTATTTTTCTTAAGAGACATTTATTAATTTCTCCTCATTTTATATGCCAAAAGTCAATTAATTTAAATGTGATTTGAATAGTTTATGAAATAGATTATCGAAATTCATGATTTATTAAATTCAATCATTTTACATTAAGAAGTTAAAATAGAAAGTCTTTTGAAACGTATTTTTAAGTATTAACTCTTTAAAATAAAGAACATTTTGTAATTATAGTCTATTGAAAATGTTCTTATAATATAATATATGAATATATTGTACTAATCGTTGGGATGTTAAATGGAAAGAGGGAGCGGCTCAATAGAGGAACGAGTCGATCAACAATTCCTTGAACGACATGTTTGTTGGCTTGCACAAGTTGCCTTGCCAACCATACATAATGCTACTTTTGCATCACCCAATAAATTTAATGTTTTGCAAATTATTGAAATTGAATTTTCAATCAATTTAACAATTTTTTTGAAGACCATAAATCATGACTAGAGACTAAGGGCCTCTCAGATAGATTTTTGAAAAGTAAAAAACCGTTTCTATATCTAAGAAGTTGTTTTTGGATATACTTTAAAAAAGAATTTGAAGTACTTTACTTGGTTAAAAGAGTTTTGACAGAAAGTTTATCCAAGGTGATTCCACGAAAAGCTTTTTACAAAAAAGCTAATGTATGAATCTATCAAACATGCCTTTAATGTACTTAAAATAGATGGAAAATCTATTGCAATAGTAGTCAAATTATAAACCTTGTGAAATTGCACTTTTTTCGTCTTTCTTTCTTAGTAAGACTTCAATATCATTCGGCAAGAATTTTTACTTTCCATTTTTGTCATGCCATGAGCAAATTACATCACTTCTTTTGAAGAGCCATGTTCATCCAACCTTCACATCAGGAGTGTCTTTTGAACTTAATTTTCCCCTTAGCTTGCTCAAAATGTACTACCATAAAGGTCTAAATCACTTTTACTTTGAAATAACTTATTTTTCCACTTAAACTGCTCAAAGGATACCATAATTTCAGGGGAAAGAAAAAAGTTTATACAACTTACCGAAATATTTTAATTAAACAAATTTTCACTCTCTGATAATGTCAAAAGACTCTATGACTCTCTCACTTTTAAAGTCTCTTTTGAACTTATTTTCCTCTTAGTGCGAATAATGGACTAAATCACTTTTACTTCGAACGCGTCTTCTGAAACATTTTTTTTTTTTTTTTCAATTAGCCTCTCAAAAATGCCATAAAAGAAATGATGAAATTTTACTTGAAAATCACTTGAAAATGATATTAAAATTTCATGACATTTCGGAAAAAGATATATTAAGCCCCCGTTTGGCCCGCATTAAATTTTATTACATTACATTTCATTTTTCTCTCTCCTATTTTCAATCACACAATCTTTCATAAAATAATCTTACACGTAAATCGAAAATTTTTCCTTCATTTTCAACCACTCATTTTTTAAAAGAATACTATTCCACCCATTTTCATTTTTAGAAAATGGGGGCCAAACAGGGCTAAATTGTTTTAATCAATCAACACTTTGATTATCTGATTATGTCAAAAAACAAAGAATTTACAGGTTGTAATGGGACTAGAGACCACATAAAATGCCAACCAAATTTGACTATGGTAGCTTGTCCACTGCCTACTTTCATCCACAATTTCCTCGTACCTAGACCACCTTCATAAGCTGAAGTCAACCAAACAAATAGAAATCCATGTCTAGTCGTTAACCTCACCTAAACCCCAACCTGATAGCGACTTTTTGCTAATGTAAAATCACCTTTTTTTTTTTGGCTAATAAATTATTTTTTCAGGATAATTCTTGATTTATTGTATCCTAAAATATATCATATTCACATCTCTCATTTATCTAATTTTGCACAAGACACGCTTTATATTAGCCCATGTGAAAGTTAGTTCGATCCAACTTCTAAAGTTTAACGAATCCTAAAAGTTAATTTTAATTTTGCTCCTATCATGCCAAACATGCCGAAAGATTTGTTTTCAACTCGTCAAGAAAATCTCTTTTTTTTTACTAAGAGTGTATTTGATTGACATGAAAAATATCTCCTTAAGGGTGTGTTTATTACATTTATTTTCCATAGAAAATATCAGTTTTCCATTCAAATTTCTACTTGAAGTGTTTGATTGCTATTTTTTCCCATGAAAAACATTTTCCAACTTTTGAAAATATGCCTAATTTTCCTTGTTTTTAAGTTCCTAGGGTAGAGGTGGTTTTTATTTTCCACAAAAGATGGAAAACATTTTCTTTTTTAGGTGATATTTTCCATGTCAATCAAACACACTCTAAAAAGAAAATGTTTTCCATCTTCTGTGGAAAATAAAAACCACATCTACCCAAGGAAAATATT